TAATAAGTAGGTCCACTGGACCTACTTATTAATCTTTTTGATTTTTCTACCTGGATTACTGAGATGCATTAGGACAAAACTTTTAATTAAAAAAGCAAAACAATTTCCAGCACATCACAAACACAACATCATTAAATGTAATTATTTTAAAACAGTTGAAGWTGAATGTGCTAATAACAATCATATTTTAACATTATTTAATTCCTGTAGATCTGAAGGCCACACAGTGCTTCCACACCACCACTGGGGTCCTGACCCCCCCCCCAACACATTAATTTACAGACACATAAAGGACTAACAATTACATGACATGATGCACAGTTTCATTTAAGGAAAATAAACCATAAAATTGAATGAAAAACCAGAGCAGTATGAAATAAGAATGATTTCTGTGGCCTAATTAGATTTTACATAAATAATTAAAWAATTTTAGCTGAAGGTTTTCAGGGTGGTGTGCAGGAAGTCTCCAGCAGGTGGCAGCAGATCCAAACTGAGCTTTAGTGCTCCACAAACATCAAGGACCAACACAAGAGCAGGAAGCAGGCTGGCCCTGACAACCAAAAGGTTTTTATGAATAAAACTTCATCCAGGTTTGCTGCAGAGRTTTATGGAACCTGATAAAACAGAAGCCAGAGAAACAAAACAACATTTTGTTGTGAAAGAAATACGCTCAGAGCAGACTGACCTCTCCTGAGGTCTGTGCTCCTGACCCAACGAGCTCTGAGCTCCAGGTTCTGAAATCTTCACAGCACCTCACACATGTTGTTCTGCTCATGCTCTTTTTCACTTTCTTCTGATAATTTTAGTTTTATTCTGCTGTTTCAGTTAAAATTCTGCTTCTTTCTGCTATTCTGATGTTTGTGTTTTATTTCTGCTCGTTTGTGCTGTTTATGCTTCTGACTGATGTTTTCAGCTCTGTTCAGCTTTTAGCTGTTTTCTGTTGTTTTCAACTAGATTTGTGCTCATTTYKACTGTTTTTCTGCAARGTTAGCCTTTTTTTCTTTCACCTTTTCAAAGTGAGCTCACATTAACACTTCTGTTATTAAATATTTTCAGCTCAATTTCAGCAGCTTTTCGTTTAAGTTTTCAGCATGAAGCGTTCACACGAGCGTTTTGGCAGGAAATGCAATTTCTCTAGTTTGATTTGATTTTTTTTTCATTTTTAAAGCGTCTTTGAGTAAAAGCGCAATAAAAGTTTGATGTAGTAAT